CTCCGTTCCAACAGCTTAATTTTCCACCACCAGCTCTTCCTTTTTATAAGTAACAATGAGCGAAACCTACATATTAGGAATCCGCTCGGTATTTTCCCTCTCAACGCAAGATCAGTCGTGCAAAAGATTGCACACCTAAGAAGTGTAGCTGTTGAGTTTGACAAAGATGTATTGTGCATTAGAGAATCTTGGGCTCACTCTCTAATTTCAGACTCGGCACTTAATATAGATAGCCTCAGTTTATACCGCCATGATCGTGTCGAAAGACGCGGCGGTTGATGCCTTCTTTACATAAGAGCCTCACTTGCACAGTCGCCCTATGACTTGAACATTTCCTCCTTCTCTGGAAATTTATGTTTCACTTCGATAATACTTCCGCAAAATAGGAAAACCTTAGTCGGATGTGTATATAATCCTCCTTATTACTCCGGAAATGAAAGCTAACTCTGTGAAATCTTTGAAAAAATTGCAGAAACTTCTTTCGATGTCAAGATAATCGTAGGCGATTTCAATTTGCCAGAAATTGACTGGCACACACATACGTCTCCTGCTAGATTCCAGAAGCAGCTTGACACCATTTTATTTTCAAACTTATCTCAATTAGTTCACTCTTCCACCGGAAACGATAATGTTTTAGACGTACTTTTTACTAATGGTACCTTCCCTTTATCTATGGATTTCTATCATGACCCCTTTGCAAGTGATCATGCATTAATCCCTTGTCGCCTTCCAGTTGCCATTTCCGCAAAGGCAACTGTACAACTTAGTATTATTGACTTTGCTAATGTTAACAAGGAATTAGTTAATAACTTTACATGCACTGTTGATCTGTACAATATTTTTTTCAAATAATGATCGAAATTTTTTCAACAGTTTATTGCAATGCGTAACAGAAGGTCTTCTCGAACTTTCTCCTCGGCAGACGTTCAAATCGAGTGCTAATTCCAACGCTCTCCCACTCTTTCTTAAAAACAGACTGAAAAAGTTACGGAAGCAGTTTTAAGATCCTTCTGTGAGCTCATTATCAGTTCATCTTAGAATCGTTGAAATATTTGAAATAGCTTCGAAAATGAGGCTCGCGCGAGAACGGGGTAGAGAGTCTTTAGCTATTAATGACGCGAATGCTTTTAAATCAGTTGCTCAGATCTTCCGTCAAAGCTCATCTGCTAAGCCCCACCAAGTCATTCCGCCTTTGCTTAGTACTAGCGATGCCTTCATGACAGAGGAGTCAGGCAAAGCAGAAATGTTAAATTCGTCCTTTGTCAAACATTTCACCATTGAAACTGACCCAATCCCTTTAATTCCTCCGTTGTCTGATGCTTCTCTTAGTATCATTAATTTTTCTCCTGAATGTATTCAAAAACTGATAAGCCATCTTCCTAACTGTCACTCAGTAGGTACGGACAATATCCCAAACTCTTTTATAAAACAGCTAAGAGATTTTCCTCCTCTGCTTAGCAAAATCTTTTCAGTATTTCTCGTAAATGGCTTCTTCACTGACTGTTGGAAAACTTTTATTATTATTCCTGAATTTAAATCTGGCTGTCGTTCTGACGAACAGAACTATCGAGGTGTCCATAAAACACCCTCTCTCGCCAAAATCTTTGAAAAAATTATCGCCGTAAAAATTACCGAATTTTGCATAGCTAATCAAGCCATTTGCCCTTCCCAGCATTGTTTTTTTACCTGATCGCTCTTGTGCAACATGTCATCTGTGGTTTCTCAATCTTCTTACCTCTCTTCGTAATGACCATCTATCTGTTATCGTTATTTATTTTGATCTTAGTAAAGCCTTTGATAAAGTAATACATAAAAGACTCTTAGCTAAATTGGAAGCTATGGGAATTCGCAGTCCACTAATGTACTCTCTCAGGTCATACCTGTCTAATCGTAAACAAAAGGTTTTGTTTGGATATTCACTTTCCAGTGAAAGCCCTATTTTATGTGGTGTCCTACAAGGCACCGTTTTAGGCCCTCTTTTGTTCTTGCTTTACATTAGTGATATCTCGGCAGCAGTTTAAAATTCTCAATCATTTATTTATGCCGATGATCTCAAAAGTGTATATTCTTTCAATAAATCTACGAGCCTTCATTGCCTGGAGCAAATCCATGCTGACTTGCTTGCTCTCTCAGCTTGGAGCTCAAAATGGTAATGGAATTCTCTCCATCCAAATGTCGCTATATGTACTTTGGACCTGATAGGCTGCCTCAACCAGTGGTCTTTCAAGGCACACCTATCACTGAATGTATCACCATCGAAGATTTAGATTTAAGCTACACTAGTAATCTTGATCTCTCGCCACACGCTGACAGAATTACAGCCAAAGCTGCCCAGATTTTTGACTTCATTTTTGACAATTTCTATCTTCCTGAAATTAAATTAAGGCTCTATCGTATGTTTGTACTTCCCATTCTCGAGTATTGTTGCCCATTCTTTGGTTTGATGAATGAAGCCAGTCGTTTAAAAATTGGAAATGTCTAAAGACGTTTTACTAAAAAACTTTTAGATAAGGAACATGCCAATATCTCCTAATCAGATAGATGCCAGCTAATTAACCTAAAATTTTTATGAGTTCGAAGACTAGAAGCGGGCTTCTGTCTCCTCTTTCGCATTAATCATAGTTCAAATTTTCCTCGGATTTCAGCACTTACCCCTAGTAGTCGCCCATACAATCTACGCAACTCGTTCTTGATTATACCTCCTCCAGCGTCATCCACCTCTAAGCGCTCCCTTTTTTTCGCTTCCAGGTATACTTTCCTCTGGAATAACCTTCCAATAAATATAAGATCTTTAGAAATTCTACCTACCTTTACGAGAAGGTTACGCCTTTATCTTAATATTGACTCGATTAAACTATTATTTTCCTTATCCTTCCCAGACAACTGTTTCTATGACACTGAGAAAGGGCCACCGGGAATTTAGTATGCCGCCATTAAATTTCCGTATCTGTTCACATTTCCTTCCTTTGTGAGTAGTCTCGCTACCTAAGATCCCTCACCAGAAATGTTAATTATTCTAATTTTTCAGTTCATGCATCGTGCCCTCCCAGAATGCGCTCCATCTACGCTCTCGGCGAAGCCTTCTGTATTCGCCATATACTAGTAGTCTGGTCGCACCTCACTTGCCCCATCCTCGGATGTACTCGGAGGAATGTAACCGACCGCATTTGGGTTCCTATTGCTTCGAGACTGGCTTTCAATTTCGCCACTTATTAGCATTATTCAAGGCCACATTCAGACCAGTCCTGACCGACCCGTCTACTTACCCCTTCATGAAATCCGTTATACAATGCGATACACAACTGACATTTATTTCGGTCCTGACGATGTCCGCCTATAATCCATTCTATACCGCCACATGCAGGCCAGTCCTGCCCGCATTTTTCTGCTTCTATTTTTTTCGAGGGTTTTTTTCTCCTGTAAAATTAATCCAATCATTTTCAAATTTTTGTATGGAGTTTTTTTTTCACGCCTCGCTAATCATTTTTGCTTAATGAATTAATAATTCAAAAAAACTATGTATTGCGCTTTGTAGAGATTTTGACTACCTCGCCTAAAATTCGAATGAAAGTTTATTTTTACTTGCTTTGATGGGACCACGACGGGTCTTTAATAAAATAATAATAGTAATAATTATTATTATTACATCGGAGGGACAGAGAGCATCGTCAGGGTGGTGGTATGTTTATGTATGTGAATGAGGGCTGGCAGTGTCGAAAAACACAACCAAGTTTGCGTACGGCAGGGAAGCTATTTCGTTGACCATCTAGGAAACTGGTTCACCGTGTCTCGATGTCGTCACTGTCTGCCGACCACCTAGAGCACACCAAATCCCCGGCACTCAAATATTGATGCATTCGGAGAAATCTTCCGGTGGACAAAACATCATGATCATGGGCGACTTCAACGCACCAGGAACAAACTGGAATACCTTCCAAACTTCAGGTCCAAAATCGGCATTCCATTACGTCTGATCAACAAAAAATTAAGGGGGTCCCTCACACAACATGTAATATTCCCAACGAGAACATGTGAAGGACAAAGGGCAAACTGTCTGTATCTGGTTTTTACAAAAACACCAAACAGCATAGACGAGATCACCTCCATGCCATCCCTTGGCCAAAGTGACCACGTAGTGCTTATGTGGGATTATTCGTTATTCTCCATTTCGCATACTTCGGACCAAAAAAGATGGAATGCATGGCTGGGCAACTTCAATCAGATGAGGGCAGACTTATCCGGTCTCGACCGGGGCTCATCGTTTACGGGAAATGCGAACGGCAATAAAAGTGGCCATATTCTACGCTCCATGGGGGCAAGACAATGCCAAACGAAAAACTTCGCGTTTTCCAGATACACAGAAACACGATCTCTGTGGGTAAATATTGAATCAACCTCCATTGGCGAAAACAACTTAACAAGATCGGGCGGCTTTTGGTGCGCAAAGACAGCCGTTTGACAACAGCTATTTTGCAGTTTAATCGCCATGAGTAAAGAAGATAAACCGTGCCATCAGACTACTGTGCAGATCTAGGAATTTTTTGAACAGGAAGTTGCAATCTCTTTTTTGTCTGTTCCTAGATACTTTGCGATCAGTTGAAAGAGTGAGTCATTATTTTTGTATTCCTTAGTGGGGACGTCGGAAATAACCCCGGCGAACAATTTTTGAAGAATCTACCGACAGGCCGCGGTTCTATTTCGATCTTAAGTCACAGATTCCAGTAATATTATCTGTCACAAGTGCGACCTTAGTCAACTCAAGAAACCGTGCAGAACGGGCTCTTTATACGCCAGACTTTTAACTTGAGTATATTGTATTTGCGGATAATCTTCTCTTTAGATTTCTTTGGTAAGCATCGTCCTTGTATTTCACATTTTTTTCGTTTTTTGCATCCTTTGTTTTAAAGAGTAGCATTGGTTTTATTCGAAGGTGTTTTGGCTGTGTCTCCTCTCGCCTTGTTCCCGGGCTGCCGCCGATTTGGCCAGACGGCCACTCTGTAATGGCTTGTTTACCGAATAAAGACAATGCGGGGTAAGTCAAATGCACACGCCGGCTAGTTTTTCATTTATATCACTGTTATATCTTCCGAACTGTTTGATTTTATAATGCCTGTCTTTAGGGCTTGTGCGGACCCAATGATAGGCAAGGCGCCGTGAGTTTTATAAACGACTATAGCCGTTCTCCACGTATTTTTATTTTCTTCGCCAGTTGCTTAGTCTTACTTACGAGAATCATCCAAATCTTTCGGAGTGGATGATGATAAATATGCCTCATAACAACTGCTAGTGTCCTGATAGCGATGGGCGATCGCCCAGGGCTAGTCCGGTCTCCCGTCGCGGGCTAATGTTTAGATTGACTGGATTTTTTCAACAATCCCAGCGGACACTGTCCACACGGGGACAGTAGGTTGATGCGCCTTCTCGGGTGAGTTGGGGGCGTTGTAGCCCGAGGCGGTTTAATTCGTCAGGCAGGGGCCCAAATTCTGGACAAATTGCGTGCAAGGACCCATAATGTGTGCGCACGCACAAAGGGGCCCTTGAGGCGTGACGTGTGAAAAGCACTTGGGTGAGCATTGACGAGGGGGTGTAGCAGAAAAGCTCCTTTCCTCGCAGAGATCGAGCTTTGTCAGCCAGTCAGTTTACTAGTCCTGCACTAGCCCGCTGGTCAAACGAGCCAGAAAATGTCTAGCCCTTGGCGAATAAATGCTATCAGGGTGGCGTTTCGTATTTCCATATTGACCTCACCCCATAATATGTCACCCAGATTCGCCTAATAGCGCGTTAGTCGCCAGCGGTTGATGCAACAGCTTTTAACCAAGATTCGTTTTATGAAATACAGACACTGAAACTAACGAACATGCAGTCCTGAACCATTAGGCGACACAGCTTACCGGAAGCAGAGTTTCATTATATGTATTTCATAGAACGAATCTTGGCTAAAAGCTATTGCATCAACCGCTGGCGACTAACGCTCTATAAGGCGAATCTGAGCGACATATTATGGGATGAGGTCAATATGGGAATACAGGATCTAGTCCTATCACAGCCACTGCGTAAAGCCCGTTATGGTCCTGTAACTTGTTGACCATGAACCACTATTACATCATTCGTCGCTTTCTTCCTCTACAGCCTCGGAGTCGCAACATATTTCTTAATTCCACTATTAAAATTGTTCTATGTGGAGTGGTAGTGCGACGTCCATTTCAGTTGAGGCGATGGAGCCCCCAGAAGGTATTTGGTCGGCACATACGCCAGGCAGGTCCTTTAGAAAAAGAGGGACGTCGAATCGTTAACCATACTGTGAAATCTTGCGAGCTGAGTAATTTTGCCTGAATATGAATTGTCGTTTGAAAATAAACCGTGTAATGGGAAACCGTTGCACGAATGGCAAGAATTTTGTCAATTTGGCGCCATGAAACTGCTGGGTTTCACGAATACCTGTTCTTGATATTTCAGTAGATATCTAGTTGCTTGGTAATGAAAAGAGAACCATACGAGAAGCCAGATCGCCTATATTCTTCACCGATCACACTGGGCCAGCGCGGTCCCACACTCTTCGTTGATGCAGACCGCCGAATCCGATTGTGGAAATAGCCCTGCCCATTCTCGACTGTGACTGAGACCACGCGCTGCCTAAAGGGTTTTATCTACAAAAAATGTATGCCACTACGGCTTCCGTCTTATTGCCTCGAACATGTCCGTTGCGCTGCTACAGATGGTGGGCATCTCTGAGGTATCGACAGTGGAAGCCAATTTTCGCGAAGCAAATCACACTTGATAGAAATCACTCAGCCGAGACTACTTTATATCTGGCTAAACAGTCGTCCGGCTGACAGTACAAAGACCCGCGACCTCGACTGACCCTAACATCAGCTGTTTGTATCGTTAATACGGGCGCTCTACGCCGTACGCATATAGTATTTCCACAGTAAGACGGTCTGACAATTGGAATTGTGCCCAAACTTATAATGATACTAGGCTATACCATCTTTTGATGATGAGGCTTTTAAGTTGTCCGCCTGTCTCAACGATCGATGTAAATCAAAGTACAATATTAGCTTCACGGCATGATACATGTCTGCGGAAAAATCAGCATTAGAGCCCAACCTTCCCTGTCCCGTAATTTGAAGATGCTGAGACACTGGAGTGCATCTGCGACTGAAGCCCGCAGTTTCCCAGGGCACCCCTAGTGGGTAGGTGGAAGGGAAGGATGATGTGATCTGAGAACATCCACTTCCCGCAGCCTGCGAACACACGATTCTTCAACTCCTCAAAGGTCACCCTTTTTACTTTGGCCCTTTGGCGTTCTGGAACATTCTGGCATATGGCGGGCCAATCATGGAGAGCTTTATTAGCATCCTTGCCCATGGCTTGTCGTCGTTGATCGGCGGAGGAACCTCCAATGTCTGACCGGCCGTTGAGTGGGCCACACGCGTGCGCATAGGTATCACACGTACTCGGTCCTGCCGTACGCGCTGTTTGACTGTCTAGTTTTACGCGTGTATCTCGCTGCCGGCCTGGGCCGGTGTTGCGTACGTTTGCAAGTGTCCCTTTCACCTTAGACCGTGAATCCACACCGCTTACGCTCCCTATGACACCCCTGATTCGACAACGCAATCCAAGAACAACAAAGCTCTTGGCGAGAGCTGCCTTACGGTTAAAATATACTAGTTTTTCGGTAATATTATATGGTCTACTTCACCTGACACAATATACCTCTAAGTGCAGGTGAAAAGTAGACAGTAGTGTGACTTTTGATCACGAATGTTTGCTGGAGTTCCTACATCGGTATTGCTTGTGTTCGATCGTGCTGCGTCATGGCCTACTGCGATGGATTCCCCCATTGAGCAGGACGAGTACAGTATATGTCAATGACGGGGAGTCTCTTCTCTAATCTGTGTTCTTTCACCCATTATTTTTACCTAACTGATAGACTGGGCTCCTCCGCATGCGATCGCAGACCACTCGGGTGTTTCATTAGCTGCTGTCCGTGTATAACGGATCTTTCTGCCCCAATGAAGTTGTTGATAAACTCCTTTGCAGGAATGCAGCACGCCATCTCCATAACAGATTCGAAGAAAACCGAAGTTGGTGTGGTGGCAAACTTTTTAATTACAAAGTTGATGGCGCTTTGTTCCGAATTTGGAGATATCTTTCCAACCACGGTAGACAGTGAAGGTCTCTAGCTAGTGCAAACTTTGTGTTAACTTTGATGAGATTTTCTTTCAAAAGTGCAAGGCAAAGATGGAATCAACCACCATGTCAATTATTTATGCGTAACCTTTAACCCTTTCGAAACCCATAAGGTCAAGCTGACCAAACCAGGCATTATGGATGTCACATAGGTACTAACTTTCCATTCCAATCGCCCAACGCTTTCAGTTAGGCTTGTCGGACCAAAGAACTTACTGGGCTACTAGGCTTCTGTTCAATTGTCTGTGATGACTGCACTGCACGCTGTCCATACTTGACCAATGACATTATGAGCTGTGCTCTTAAGAGACGGACATGCAAGTTCACGAATGCGAAATCAGAACTGTTAGGCGCTACTTACTAACCCCCAAGCCAATGATGTTTCCAGTGCACTGTACTCCGCCGTGACGCTTAAGACTTCTCACTTGTCTTGTGCGTGCACTACAAGCTCCGCCTTTAATGGGCCTCCTGTTTTGCATGCACAACACCGGCGATACAAATTAACAAGCCGGGCTCCATTGTTTTACGTCGTTGCGCTTCCGGATCAATCTTGGAGAATTGGAGCAAATGTACTTCGACGTTCTTAAGTTGCAAGTGGATACCGGCATCCAAGCCTATTCAATTAAGTGGAATCAGCGCGGGTCGGAATAGACGTCTTTCTGTGCCATTGTGGCCTTTCTTAAATGCACCAGGAGCCTATTCAAAACATCGGTGATCTTATGACAAAGTCGACTCACCTTTCTGTGAAGCACACAGTGGACATCGTCGGCAACGACGGTCGAACTATCAAATACAAGAAGACAATCAGCCGCCTTTTCAAGAAGTTGGCTTTATCGAGCAAATATGCTTTTTTCCAAAGGACGGACGAACACCATCACTCATTCCACTTACCCAACTTAGCGGGGAAAAGCGAGGTACTACAAATGTTCCCAACCGAAACGTTGTCCTAGCCTCCTACATCACCACACTTCTAGTTGAAGTCATCCCGTGAAGTTTGAAATCGACACTGGCTCAGCTTTTACCCTCACCGACAAAACCTTTTTTCAACAACGTCCTCTCTCCTTCTAGCGCAAGCGGTTTTCATAGTGGAAAACTACCGATTGTTGGTTTTTGTGTTCAGAATAAACCAACAACCACATTTGCTGGAACGGAACTAGATCATTATGTACCTTCTGTGTTATCCCATATAAATGAGATCAGTGCTAACCCTGCTCCAGATTCCTTGTTAGCCAGTCATAAAGAAGTGTGTCATGACTATCCCGCCACAAACTACCACAACCTATATGTGAATTCCGAATTTAAACCACATTTTCAGACCCGGTTCCTTAACGCCCGTTGAGTCCCTTATGCAATTACATCGAAAATTTAGAATGAATTACATCTGCGTAAAGCAAGCGCCGTTAAACCAATGCAACTATCGACACAAGTAGCCCCACTAATTCCTGTTCACAAATCGGACGGCTCCGTGTGCACCTGCGGCCACTGAAATTTGATGTTAAATTCAAGAACCAAAACGAACCATTATATTTCCTCGCGCATCAATGATCCGTATGCATCTCTCTCCAGTAGTCGAAAATTTGTAAGTAACCCTAACCAAACCTCAAAGCAAGTCTTCCTAGATCTGGACTGCCGAGACGCCACCGGGATTTATTTCGATTCAGGGAGCTACCGTTTGGACTAAATTATTTAAACTGTATTTCAGTACCCGGTCGATAAACTAGCGAATAACATCTCAAATTTGCGCCTATACTGGTGATAATTAGTAGTCGGCCTATTTGACCGCTGTCATCTATAGACTCTAAACATTGTTGTCAAATTTAGGATAGACTGGCTTCAAACTCAAGGAAAATAAGCACGCGTCTTGCGTAACCGGCGGAGTACCTAAGCTTTAAGGAGTCTGCCCTGAAAAGGACACTGGCTTTTAGCGGTCGTGGTTGATGACGTTCGATCTTTTGGTCGATTAACTGATCAGCTGGCTACCATTTCGAAACCCCTTTATCACCACTTGGAAAGAATCATCGCTGGCACTGTTCGGAGGTCCAGGGAAATACTCTTGAACAGACAGAAACGGCTCCAAGTTCATACCTATCCTGCTTCACTACGACTTTGAATTGCCTCTCGCTGAAATGGGGTGTTGCATGTACGGCGTGGGTTAGGTTCTCGTTGTTGTAGCTAGGACCGTAGCAAGCACACGGGGTGGAGAGGACGAACAAATACGGCTGCAAGTGTCAGAACGAGAATACCCTATAACAGGGCTTTCTTCATCTTACAACTGACGTACTGGGACTAAAACGGAAATAGAAAAGTAGTAGATACGATGGAATTTAGCCAGGGGCTTATGTTAGCATGACACCCGTACACTGAGTGTCTTCTGATTCATATATACGGATTACCTTTGCATCTGGACCATTTCGGGGCTGGAATCAAATATCCCGAACTATATAACAGGAATTCGGCTGTAACTTTGGCACACAACTCTTAAATTTTCATCTTTTTGTCCAACAGTTTGGGATTCATACCGTTCACAAACTTCAATTCGGTTTGATAGCTGAACATTAGAGATGCAAAAATGTCCTTGCTGAGAATCCAGAGGCGGGCACTCACTCTTTCCTCTTACGCCTACACAGCGAACCACGTTGCGCACGTGCGGGCATTGTGACTGACTACTTGAGTAGGTACCCCGTTGTAGACAATGCCATTAACTGTGCAACTGATCTTGAGGCCCTTAGGCTTCCACAGAACTTGGTCAACGCGACTGTAACCTGCCGTCAAATAGGACGGTAGACTTTGGAAGACCCTCTTTTAACTCGAGTAAAAAAAGCTCTGCGATCCTGCTGGCTGTTCTTTGTCTATAAGTCGGTTGCATACCATGGTACAGTCGTGTAGTTCTGCCACCGCATTGCTGAAATGCATTTCTCAAAGGCCTACATAATGCTCGTTCTGGTACAATTAGCGTGATAACTCTTGCCATTGCCTACACTTGGTGTTTCAGGGTTGACGCTTATTATGTGCAAATAGTGGAAGCCAAAAACACCGGTGGGTTTATCTAAGGTGCGCTAGAAGCCTTAGGTCATCCCTGACTTGCTGTGGAAGAAGGTTCACACGGATTATTTCGAGCCAATCCAGGGCCGGATAGTTTTTGTTGTGGTAGATGTCCACAACAAATGGATCCAGGCGATTCCTGCTAGAGTACACCGTCCTTCATCGCAAACAAGAGGCTACGCTCCATGTCTCCTACTTCAGAAATATCAGAAATATTTTGTTCCTGACAGTGGTCCGGGCTTCACTAGCACAGAGTTAGGAGAGTTTGTTGAGAAAAGCAGAATTAGATATCCGTACACCGCATTGTGCCATCTAGCTCTATATAGGCCGGCAAAACGTGTCGTTCGGATAACAGCACGGTTTGGTGGAACAGGCACAAGCGGATTTGCCCAACAGGCGGCTTAGTTACCGCGCGACACAAAGTGACTCAAATGGTTAACCACCCGCTCTTCAAGCGGCAGTAATGCACACGGCTTGATCTGCTTGACGCCTAAACGTATGCTATAGTTGCCGAAAAACGGACAACCATAAGGGCGCGGTATGACCTGCGCGCCAGACCTCGAACACATGTTCCTGACGGAAATTCCTATACGTGATTGACACGTAAAATATACTGGTGTCCAGTGGTAGTTCAAAGATCAAGGGACGGATAGTAAGACTAGCACTAGGGGGTGGAAGGGTCACACGTCGACATGTGGATCGTCGGCAGCCGCGCGCACACAGAAAGTGCGAAATCCGAAAACACCGAACTGACAACCATTCCTGACTTTTATTTCGGCGTTTCGATGACGGAAAACGTATCGCCCACAAATAACAACACTCAACTGGCCGAGCTGTATGTCGCCCATGCTGTCACCCTCCTGTCGGCATCAACTCAGGAGTAGAAGGACAACCACCACTTCAAAGCGGCACAGAAGTAGAAAGTCCCACCCTGAGACGGTCGATCCAAGTCCCACTGAAACGTTTGTTAGCTGTCCACTGTACTTTTCGCTCTTTCCTCCTGTCACCTGATACTGCCCACGTCAGGGTTGAGAGCTGATTTGTATGCAATCCATACTGAATCCTTGACACCTTGTGTCACGCCAGTGGCAGACGAGCGTTCGAAGTGGCGAACATGTGACTAGCACCCGTAGCCTCCGTTTGACTATCCTCTTGCCCTTGGCGTTTACCTTCTCATGTACCTCGCCGTGACGCCGTTTTTTTGTTGTCTTTTATGCCCAATACACATTCTGCCTCCAACCAGCCTTCATTTTTGTACTTATACCAGGAAACATCGCCCAAACTGTTGTAGACTTTACAGGTGTTTAACGCTATTCGAATTTGCTGTATTCTAGAAGCAACATTTCGAGCCTACGCATCCGCGTAGATTTCGACCTGGCATGGCCATGAGAGACACTGCCGCTCTAGCTGTAATTAAACGTCCTTGGCGTAGCCAACGACTTCATTTGGACTTGAACGTTTCGAACACTTCTAGGTGTGAACTTGAGCAGCTGCTGCGACTGCTCTTATATCGTTTTTGCCCTTTGTAAAGTAAACCCTTTTCTTATTTAGAAATCCGGTTTTGGATCCTTTGAGTCGTATGAAACTCCTCGACCAGCGGATAATTGTTGACTTCTCCGACAGTGTTCAGCTACTCTCCTACTTCCGTATGTGTCGTTCCATGCTCAATATGGCCTGTCAGTACGAGCAAGAGGGCAGCTTGGACAAGGCTTACGTTCTACAGAAAAGATTTATCGTCCTCTTTCTTGACTATCTCAGTAAGCGGCCCGATTTCCGCGACCTCGACGCAACTGTTCGCAAGGGATGGTCTAGCGAGTGCAAGGATGTACTTAGTCGTGTGGAAGTCTTGCATGAGAAGCTAATGGCGAAGTATGAATCTGAGGCAAGGCTGGCTGCCGAAGCTGCGCGTCATGCTTCGGAGACTAAGTCGGCTGACCAACCGCCGGCGAAGGATAAGCTTGCCAATGGATCCTCCGTCCCGTCGACCACCAATGTCCCGCGACCTCCCGAGGACAAGCCCGACAACCAGGTTGCACCCATCCTCCCTCACCCCATCGAGAAACCGCTAAAACCATCCAACGCATCTAGTTCGACTAAGTGGTCTCCTGTTCTCCTCCCCAGTTCCTTGCCCAGCGTCTTTCTGAAGATTGCTGAGCCCAACACACGTCGCGATAACGAGACCTGCGGTACTCTGTGTGGACGTATCAGCAGCGAGGGTTATGTCATCACGCACCTTGTGATACCGAAACAGTCAAGCACCCGGGACTCCTGTACCACATACGGCGAGGAGGATCTCCTTGCCTTCATGGACGCCCACTCTCTAATTGCCTTCGGTTGGATCCACACTCATCCTACCCAAACAGTTTTCATGTCCTCTCTGGATCTACACTGCCAACTCTCGTACCAGCTCATGCTGCCCGAGGCCATTGCCATCGTTTGCTCCCCCAAGCACGACGACGTACAATATTTTTCGCTAACTCCTGATTACGGAGTGAAGTTCTTGTTAGACTGCAAACTTCAGGGCTTTCATAAGCATTCCAACATAAAAGACCTCTACTGTAAAAGCCCACATGTCCAACTGACGGACCAACCGGTTGCTGTGAAAGATCTGAGATTGTGATATCTATATCTCTCTATGCTCACTCAGACCCCCCGGGCACCATCCCATTGAGCGCTTAAGCAAATACGCAACCCAAAAGCAGGATGCACACACTGGGAGTATGTCACGATGGCACAACCAATTGACCTGCCAACTGTACCGACAAACAGTACTCTTTTGGACTGGTGTCGTGAAAAGGCTGTCAAATTTTAATTATCTTTTTCACTTCATGAGTTACTTTGTTTTGCGTGCTCATATGACTCACAGAACCTAGTCTTTCTCTACCTGGTAACGGGGAATCTCGCTAGTAATCGCGGCTCCCATTATTCGTTAAGATTCTCCACCTGACAGTTCGACCGTCGCAAACGGCTACAAATCGACGAGCATCCGCTTTTTTAGGTTTTGCTTGGATACCACCAGGACCTGGGCTCACCAAGGGATTAAAGAGGCTCAATTGCTTCTTCAGGCAGTATATGACAAATCACTTCACGTATAAATCTCCATCTAAGTTAGCGTGTCTATGAGGTTTTGCCACGATCGGCCCTCAGTCCTGTGTTAAATTGGAAGACGCGGGCGGAAGTCAAAGAACACGGTGAGGACATAGGTTTAGGTTCACCAAAAGAAATTTCAACACTTGTGGAGCCGGAGAAAGCCATGGCCGAGTAGAATGTAGGCGCCCAAATTCGCTGAGACTGGTAGCTTGGTCTTCTCGCAAATGCTATCCTTGTATTTAGTCGAAACAAGAACATGTCCTTGCCTGTGGTAGCCTAGGGCGGTAATGGACATGGATATCTTACTGCGACGGAGGGTTCTCATAAGATGGAGACTGCGTCACTGCCAATTCCGATGATCGTATCTGATCAAAAGCAGTTTTTTTAAGTTCACAGTCTTCTGCTCCACCAATCTGCCGAACTTGGTTCAGTGAGGGGCCATCGATGAACGCAACTCTGATGAAATCATAATTTTGTTTTGCTGCAACAATTGTGACATGACAATCTGCGGCAAGGCTTCAGTTTTTGAGCGAGCTGGTCGATAGTTTATCCACCTTGTCTTCAGGTCGCTAGGAGATTGCCAGCAAAGATTCCGTTTTGGAGGAGAAGAAGAAGAAGAAGAGGAAGAACGCACGATCGTCGGCACAGGAGCTTTATTAACCCGACGTTTCGGATTCCTACTCGAATCCATCATCAGAGACAAAAGCAGATAAGGGTGGTTCATGCATATGCGGCTGCAGCATTTATAGGATGCAGTCGCCATGCTACCGCATA